CTTATTTTTCAGTCGTTTTATCAGTACACCCAGGAAAAAAAAAAGGTTTAATAATTGTAACATAGCTATATGTGTCGCAGAATTATACAATCTTGTATACAATCCAACTTGATTTCTTTTACGATGTGCTACTTGAAATTATTTTTACGTAATGTAGAGGAGCAGGAATAGTAATAACGAGTTTCGACGCGAGCGTAATGTATGAAATAGGGGTCTCCGATCTTCTTTTGTCAAGAGGGTCAAATATTTAAATCTTTGTAATGTCCGGGGAACCGAATAAGTTTTATTCCTGAAAATTGTAAAAATAATATGTCTTTATTTTTTAAATTCTTTTATATTAAGTTTTATAAAAGTGTGACGCAGCGACGACCGAATCGTAAAAAAACCAAAGGCGCAACAATATATAGATAATAATTATTATATATTATAAATATATATTACGTACATAATAATTATTATATTCATAATATATAATAGTAAAAATATATATATATATATTATTGCGCCTTTAATTTTATACATATATATGTCAAAATTTCTTGGCAGATCTGATAAAAGTTCACAGGGCCCGAATCCGGGCCACACAGGTTGGGGGCCCCTAGAATAAGAAGATATGCGCGCGAGCAAGGGTGATCGGGTGATGACCCGTGCGTTTTGTATCTTGCAGAGGAAGGCGTTACGGGAATTGTACATTGCGTGAAATTTTTTAAAGCCGATAAAAATTCCGTACACTATATGTACTTAAACTCGTCGTTTATTTCATCTCTGCACAAGCATCTATTTCTCTCTCTCTCTCTCGACCGTTCTCCGTCGTCAATCTGGAACTGATCTCGCTCCTGATCTCGAATTTACGGAGAGAGAAGATAACAGCGGTGCCCGGGATCGAGGATCGAAACCGGTATAATTCAAAGATGATAATTCAACTTTTTTCTCGGCGTGGAAGAATCGCACGAGGAGAATTAAATGCCGAACCGCGCGAATCGTACATATAGAGGGATCGCGATTAGGATCTGTAGCCTGCACAAATCGGAAGGATAACGAAAATTATAACGATTATATTGTTTTGTATTTATTTATTATTACGTTTAAATATTTTTTATGCACACGCAGATTTATACACGAATACATTTATTTGACGCAATATTCATGCCCCGCGTTTCATTTCCTGGCCTAGATCGCCCGCCTCGTCGCGTCCCGCGATGAGATTTATGTAACTTCCGCGTGCCGAGAGCATAAAGTGCGTCACGTAGATTGAAATATTAATATTTCATCTATATAATGAGATAGATGCGACGTTGCGAAATAGGTCGAAGCAATATTTTTCCAAGTCGACAATTACGTTCGATCGAACGAAAGTTTCCTTCAATCGCCTGACCGACCACTTTCGTAACTGTAGTGAATTTCTTGTAAAATTCTTACGTTCATTTCTACAATGTAGATTAACTTTAAACCTGGTATGTGATTTACTTTTTATCTTTTTTTTTTCTAAGTTCTAAGAATTAGAACTGGATACGGATAGAAGTGGAAATGGACATTGTCAGCTTCGCGGTAATATCGTATCAATTTGACAGTTTCGTCATAAAACTGTCTCGAGAATAACAGAGTCGGCGCATTGTTCGAAAGCGCAAAGACGAAATGCATGGAACTCTAAATTAACTAATTATTAGGCGCAAGATCCCGAGTATCCATTCGTTCTGCGCGAAACATCTTCGTTTCGAATTCGATGAGGGGGATGATGCAGCCGGAAATAGCAGATCGGATGACCGATCCTTCCTCTTCCCCTCGTCCTTCGGGGATCTGTAGTCCGTAGGGTCTACGGTAGGTTGTATTTGTACGAAAATAGGATTGGGAAGGGCTTTTTGAGTCATGGGGCTGCAATTATATATTCTGCATTAATTTATTAATTTATTGTCAAGGTCGATGTTTTTATATTATATAGATATGTTTTGCCCTTTCCCTTCCTCCTCAAGAGTTCTTGGAGTCCCTCCTCTGGGACTTCCGAGATTTTTATAAATGTTTTGAAAAATTTTTATCCAATTTTTTAGCCTCTGCCTCTATAGTGCCTTTGTCCTCGCGACGTGCAGAGGAGAGGGCGGAGGAAGAATTCGCGAACACGTGGTGGGGGAGTGACAATGACAAGTATGACAACCGCGCAAATTTGCGCGGGGCTGCGCGGGGCCTCGTGAGGACCGGCTGTAATTTGTAATTCTAGCGACACGTATAAACGATCTTCGGCCTCGGAATGATTTCGTTGACGAAGGAAACCGAAAGAAACGTGGTGGAAGTCGCCGAGGTGACCGACGCTCAGGACGATCCGTACGACGTGGAGAGATGCGCCCGTTGGGTCCGGACGAACGCCTTGAAACAGGTCTGGAAGATGCACGCGTTTTCTGAAAAAAATTCCTCGCGCGTACACCGTAGAATTGTAGTTGCAGATCTTTTTGAAAAGATTCAGCAAATCGTTTTTTTTCGCGAATTAGAGACGCGGTAAAGAGTTGAGGTTGAGGTTATGTTATTAGCCTGCCAGATCTTAATTCTTTTTATACAAGATGCATGATTTTATATCCACTGCAAGATGCTGGATAAATAAAAAGCGACGCAATGATAACGATAATTACGTTGCTGGAGTTATTTATTGATGATAGATGAGATTAGGTTAAGTTAGGTTAATTGTAAGTTTATATCTGGAGGGGTTCAAAACCACAGTGGTGTAAGTCAAATTTTTAAAAATATTTTTTTATGTGCGTAGATGCAATCTGTACAATATATAAATTGTATCTATGCACACGAGAAAATGTTTTTAAAAATTTGACTTACACTGTTGTTTTTACCCCTCCATCTGTACATATATTTGATATGAACAGTTTTGTAGCATAACTTGATAATTTTTTATATATAATTATATATAAATATATTCATATATATTTACATATAAATACATTATATATTATTATATATGAATACATGTATAATTCTATTATTAACTGAATGTTTATGGGGTCGTAATGCTCTTTTGTGTATTGTAGGTATGCCTACAGTTTCCGGACAGCCTGCTACCGGATTCGGTGGAGGTTGCGCTACGTTTGGAGAAAAGCCTAGGGCGAAAGGTGTATATCTTAGGTGATACGACCTGTGGTAGCTGTTGCGTCGACGAGGTAACGGCGCAGCACGTCGACGCGGACGGCATAATACACTTCGGACACGCTTGCCTCAGCCCCACCGCTCGCTTGCCCGTCTTTCACGTTTTGCCGAGGAAGCGATTGGACGCGACGGCACTCTGCGACGAGTTCGTGCGAATTTTTCCAGATTGCGGGAAGAAGATTATATTTTTCTACGACGTGGCATACGCGCATGAGATTGGTAAATGTTTGAGATGTTGCTAGTGATTGAGAGAGCTGGCGATGGCGGATAAAGTAACGTAATGCACATTGTATGATTACAGAAAATGTATATAACGCATTGAAACCTGTATATAAACACTTAGTTTTGTCTAAATTAAATTGTACGTCGAACGTGGAATATACCGATACGAGAGTAAGCTCGGCCTCAGTCGTCTTGGGTAGAGGTTACACCTTAGAAAATGGATATAACGTACAGGATTACGAAGGGTTCTTCTTGGGCGAGGGAGAAAAGACTCTCGCGTTATTAGCGATGAGTATACCCGTGAAAAGGTGGTACTGTTTCGCAAACGGTAAAATTGGCGAGTTCGAAGCGTTGAGCACACCTTGGTTGAAGCGAAGGAGATTCCTGATAGAGAAGCTGAGGGATGCCAGAGTTGTGGGAATTGTGGTGGCCACATTGGGCATTCAGGAATACCTGACGGCTATTAACACCGTGAAAAGAACCCTCAAACAGAAAAATAAAAAGTCTTATCTTCTCAGTGTAGGAAAGATAAATCCTGCCAAGCTCGCAAATTTTCCAGAGGTACGTTCAGCAGGGTGCAATAAAATATATTTGACTTGAATTTAATTTTAATCTTGCTATACAATCATGTCGATAAATACTTATTCGATTTTTATTTACAGATCGACGCCTTTGTCGTGATAGCTTGCCCAGAGAACGAGGTATTCGACTCGAGAGACTTTTTTAAGCCTATGCTTACGGTGTACGAAGTTGAATTAGCATTTAACAGCGCGAGGGAGTTCTGTCCGCAATATTTCATGGATTTTCGACAAATATTACCCGGCGGTCCTCACTACGTCGACTTTAAGCCGTCAACGGACTCGGATGTTTCTCTCATTACTAGCAATGTCAGAAATTGCGAGGACGACACTCTATGTACAGATCAAATGAATGCTCTGACAGTCCGTTCCTCAGGTATATCCAATTTATTTGAATTAAAAGAAATATCAAGAAAGTAACGAGATAGTAAAAATTGAAATTGCAATCTTGAAATCGTACTTTTAACACGAAGTTATTTGATATCTTTTGCCGCATTAATTAGTTTCATGGAAGAGACATAATTGTCTCCACAAAGATCAAAGAGACTTACTCTTCTTGTAACTACACTGTTAAAGAGTTCTTTTTATGTGTTTGAAGCGTCAATTTTTTTTTTCTTTTTTTTCCATTTTTACATGTATTTTCTGTGCAAGCAGTTTAACAATTCAAAGCGATTTTATGTAATTAGACACTGTAGTAATAATACAGCAATTCTTCTACTAGGTACTGTTGCCATTGGCAAGGCGGGGGCTCAATATCTACAAGAAAGATCTTGGAAGGGTGCCGAACAGCGACTAGGCGAAGATCCTGTACAACCAGCGGAAGCTGGTCGCGTTGGATTAGCGTGGGAATACACGAATGAACCTTTAAAAACAGATAAACGTGACGCACAAGCGGAATAAATATAGCGTTTTTAGATATAGAGTAATTTCATTCATTCCTTTCTCCTGCGATCTGAAAGTTCGAATCTAAACCCTCAAAAATTAACTAAGTATCAGGTATATATAATCAGATAAGACATCAACTATAAATTTCCAAAAATTTCTAAAACCAAGATTTCGAACAGCAAGAATTTAAATTTTCAAAAATCAATAAAAAATTGGGATACAAAGAATTGTTGTGCTGAAAAATGAAAAAGAACCAGCGACTCCAGAAATTTTTAGACTTTTTAAGTCCGCGTGTTTGAACTGCAAAAACTTGATGTTAATCTCGTCAAAAGTATCTGGAAAATATAATTAGTAGTTGGTAATGGTTGGTAATTAATAGAATTGATAGGGTGATGCAGATAAAAACTCCAAGTATTTCATTTTCTTGGAATTTAATTCTTGGAATCGACAACTTTATTTCTTATACATATATATCTACCTTTCATTTTATCAACGGAGTGTAACGATATAAAATAAAGAAAGAAATGAGGTGGACAATAAAAAAGATAACTGTATTCTTATATGAGTAAGCAACATATTTTGGGGTACAAAATCTAGAAAGGGGCGTAATTTATATATTTCCGTCGGCGAAAGATTATTATCAATGATAATTATTTAACACAAGAAAATTCGTACAAATGTCATTAGTGTCATTACACAGTCATTACAGATAATAATCTAGGGAATTTTTTTTTATATTCGTAGGGACTGACGGCTGAGTCAGCTGATGATCTTGAACATTCTAATCCACTAGTCAAACGTCAGAATTCTCGCGACTTTACCGAGCTCTAGGCTCTAGACATTGGCATCTCGGTAAAAAAAAGAGGAGAAAAAGAGAGAAAACTGCAAGCCGTCTTCTGCTACCTGCGAGATAGATGATGCTACACCGTTGAGAGATGACAACAATTCGAGCACGTTCTGTACCGTCGTGCAGGTGGAGCCTCGTCATCGGGATCTTGCTGCTGTGCGATGTGTCGCAACATGTGTCGCGCGGCGAGAACGCAGTTAACCTAAGCACCAGCGGGATCGTCACCGAGAACAGATCCGTCACCGCGGCCTCGGTGACGGACGCCTCGGCCGTACCGAGTGTCACAACGAATGTCAGCGTGTTGTCACACGAGTTATCCAGCACCGTGCGATCCGCGATTGATACGAGTCAAGTCGTCAGTCGCAATGCTAGTTCAACCAGTTCAACCGCCAAACCACCAGCACCGACCTCTGCCGCGAGCACGGCGCGGCCGGAGGATGTCGCGAGCCACCGGACGACCGAGAAAAGCTTCGCGACGTCGCCGAGCCCCGACAGGAACACGACGGACGTTGTTCCCGTGCCGTCGCAGAGCCCGGCGGATGCCGCCAACTCGACCAATGTCACCGCGAGCAACGTCACCACGACCACCGTCGCTCCGGCGGAGCCGGTCCTCCCCGACAAGGGCTCCGCCGAGGAGGAGCACAACAGCTCCATGTCCATATTCTTCGTGCTGTGCGTCCTGGCGCTGGGCATACTGCTGATACACCTGATGCTGCAGACGAATTTCCAATACCTGCCCGAGTCGGTGGTGATCGTCTTCCTGGGCGCCGCGATCGGCATGATCATAAACCTCATGTCGCATCAGAACATAGCGAACTGGAGGAAGGAGGAGGCCTTCTCGCCGACCGCGTTCTTCCTGGTTCTACTACCGCCCATCATCTTCGAGTCCGGCTACAATCTGCACAAGGGAAACTTCTTTCAGAACATCGGCAGCATCATGGTGTTCGCCATCTTCGGGACGGCCATCTCCGCGTTCGTCATCGGCGCCGGGATATATCTGCTTGGTCTGGCACAAGTGGCGTACAAGCTCAGCTTCGTCGAGAGCTTCGCGTTCGGGTCGCTGATATCGGCGGTGGACCCGGTCGCCACGGTCGCGATCTTTCACGCCCTGGACGTCGATCCGGTCCTGAACATGTTGGTCTTTGGTGAATCGATTCTGAACGACGCCATCTCCATCGTGTTGACCACCTCCGTCCTGGAGTCCAACAACGCGGCGACGACCAGCGAGGCTATCATACTCGGCTTGAATCGGTTCTGCCTCATGTTCTTCGCGTCGGCGGGCATCGGCGTGGTGTTCGCTTTGATAAGCGCGTTGCTGTTGAAGCACGTAGACCTCAGGAAGAATCCGTCTTTAGAGTTTGGCATAATGTTAGTGTTCACATACGCCCCGTATGTTTTAGCGGAAGGCATACAGCTGTCAGGTAAGCGTTTGTGATAATTTTATACAGTTTTCTCTGTTGTACAACTCTGTTATCGCTTATATTTGTTTCATACTGATTCGTTGTTGCAGGAATTATGGCGATTCTGTTCAATGGAATAGTCATGTCGCACTACACGCATTTCAACTTGTCAACTGTTACACAGATTACGATGCAACAGACAATGCGTACGTTAGCCTTCATTGCTGAGACCTGCGTCTTTGCTTATTTGGGATTAGCATTGTTTAGCTTTAGACATAGGGTAAGTGTATCGTATAATATGCCGAATATATACACTCCTCGAATCCTTTCGATTAAGTCTCTTTTTCCTGCCCGTAGTTCGAGCCAGCACTAGTCGTTTGGTCGGTGATCTTGTGCCTGATTGGAAGAGCCGCCAATATCTTTCCTTTGGCCTTGCTCGTGAATCGTTTCCGCGAGCATCAAATCACGAGGAAGATGATGTTCATCATGTGGTTCAGCGGCCTGCGCGGTGCCATATCATACGCGTTATCGCTTCATTTGGATTTCAGCGATGAAACGCGCCACGTTATTATAACGACGACGCTTATCATCGTATTGTTTACGACCTTGATATTCGGCGGGTCCACGATGCCTCTGCTGAAATTCTTGAGGGCCGAAAAGAAGCCGAAGAGCAACAGTAGGAGGAAGAAGAAGGATAAGGAAGTTACATTGAGCAAAACGAGAGAATGGGTAATTTAAAAAATTGTATAACGCAGATAACGTACAAAAATTTTTATACACATATAGATGATATATTATTTTTTTAATACAGGGACAAACTATAGATTCTGAGCACTTGTCGGAACTCACGGAGGAGGAAATGGAAGTGTCCTTCTTGCAATCGCGAATTCGCGGTTTCGCGAGGTGGGATCTGAAATTTTTCATTCCGTTTTTCACGAGACGATTCACGCAGCAGGAGCTGAAGGACTGCAAGTCGCAGATGACGGATTTGACGAATCAATGGTACCAAGCTATTAGAATCAGTCCAATAGAATCGGATGACGAGGCGACTACGGCATCGACCGCGCAATTAAATCTGAACATCACTGGAACAGCTAAGGGGCAACCGCCGCACGGGAAGGAGAAGAACGGACGTCCTAGACACGGGTCTATATTAAGTATTTAATTTATTTTGTGTGTGTGGTGTGCCCTTATGTGTGCTGAACTACGTGCTTTTAAATTATATTGCCTACAAATGGGTGTATATACAAGTATTTATTAACATTAGTATTAAATCTATAACAGTATAGATCTTTTCACATGAAGGAGAATTTTCTGTTTCATCAAAGCTGCAAATGTTGCCTTGTTCCAGTGAGCTGAAGGAGAGCACTTACAATTTCCTCTATTTAAAATTAGTACAGAATTTCTCTTTGACCTTAAATTCGCTTGTTGCTTAATATTAACTTACATACGTTTTATTAACGCACTTCATTGATACATAGGGAATATAAAATGTTATCTCCTATAATTCTCTAATTATTTCCATGATTTGTGAACAACCACATGGAAAGAGAAAATGGATAAGAGAGTTTGTGCACAGCAAACTTTATACATCTACAATACGAGTGAAATTTGTCTAAGGTTGAATTGTCTCTTATACATCATATTTTCGTAATTTATTTGTTTTCGCCTAATATTTACACGTACCTGTATAATTGTAAGCATCGTTACATTATTGCTTATATAGTGAACAGCAGTGTATTGTCCAATATGCTTGCTTTATTCAAAGCAGCTTGGCAACGGTGGTGATGGGCAGTAAATTGATTTCAGTTCCTAAAATATTAACAGAAATACTATTAATTTGCAGTGCTGAGGAGGATTGGTCTGATTAGTTCAACTTATTCCCACAAGTATATTTTTCCCCTGCGGATTAATCTCTTGTTCCACGTGTAATTCTTTAATCGCGCAATACTTGTTGAATTCGATGAAGATTATTTATACGATCTGATACCTTTGTTGGTATTAGAGATGTGTACATACAACAGATTTCTATTTGTGTTACTCTTGTTATGCATATTTGTAATTATTCTAAAATTAATATTGTATGAAAGTAAAATTATAATAACCAGGAAACAACGAAGTCGGTCACAGTAATGTGCATAACGATAGTATAATGTTGTATATTTTATCATTTAGCATTATTTTATCCAATTATGTGATAATTATTATTTCAATAAGTAACAAGTTATTCGAACAGAACTCGCAAACGATTTAATTAGCGGTAGTAAATTACTGAAATTGACTGAAAAAATTTAAAACAGTCCCTATTCATTGTCATCTCTTTCACAGAATTGTTTAATTGTATTTATAAAAAAAAATGTCATCTGCGTTTTTACAACATCCCAATATTTTTCAGTATTTATAGTACAAAATGGATTGCATTTTTGGTATCGCTAAATATGTCTGTACAGCGTGTTGAAGGTATTTTGATTTAAACAATCAGAAAATGTGAGAGATTGAAATTAAAAAGATCTGTTTCCTAGTTTATTAATTATCCGCGACGATGTTATTGCGAGAAGGGAATACGTATGCCGTCATGCGAATAGTTTACGAGCACGTGTTTCGTATCGTATCACTCGTGGGAGGGACTGCGTTATCTTGCTTCCTTGAGGCCGAGCGTTAACCCAGCGTGTTACGTTTTGTAGCTAGAAACCAGCTGGCGAAAGATAGCACCGTCCTACGTTCCGCTGTAATGTGATTCGAGTTGAATTATAATATAAAATGATATTTGGCGGGCGACACGGATTTATCCTTGTAACTGGCGCGGTGTATCAACGAAAAAATTGCGAGACGAATTCTGTTCAAGTGTTCTCTTCGTCCACCGTCTGAAATACGCATATTTAGAAAAAAAAAACGTGAACATATTGTACATTACACTTTGTACGACCGTAGTCACAGGGACAATAAAGGTGATATAATTTGTGATATACATATATAAATAAACTCACGTGAGCGAATCCAGGTCTGCTGCTTTCTTACCCTTAATAAAGCGACGGATGACGAGTGAAAAAAAGAAGCATTTTTATTTTGTTGCGAATTTATTTCTCATATATATCGATCTCTCTCAGATGGGGTTGGGGGTGGGGGCGGGGGGTACATTGGTTGTCTGTTTTTCATTATTCTTTGCGGCAGGGCACATAACGGAGGCAGCGTCTAAACATCAAATCCATTTATTCGTTCGATTCGTTACGGCTATTTTTATTATGCTCTATAGTTCTTAAATGCTTCGCACGGTTCGTTACATCGAGTGACTGGAGCACGAGACGTTAGTATACAATAGATTAGCGATGATTTATATAATCGCCGTCGTTTTTTTTTCCCTTCCCTCTTTCTCGCGAGCGTCAATCCGTCAAGGATACCTGAAAGGGAAGAGTGCACGACTTTGATTGTACGGTACGCTCAGACGAACGTGATTTAACACACCTTCGAACATTCATCGGTGCGCAAGGAAGAGTTTTCGTTGGAAAAGATCTATCAGGAATCCGTAGGAAAGGAACGGATCATACGGATTGCGCGATCCAGGAAAGGAATATGGTTCCACGATTTAAGTCGGAAGCGAGTGAGGTGAGAATCTTCTCTCATTAATCTCCGTCAATTTTGAAAATCGAACGCAATTGTATAACATAAATGCCGAAACGGACGGAGATCCGTGCTTGAATGTGCGAAATTAATTCGCTCATTATTTGCAGAGAACCCAAATGACGCGCGTGTGTCGAGAGAGTGACGCCTCCCATTCTTTCGCACCTCGCAGACGTATTCGACGCGATCAGGCGGGACTAATTAAGTCAATCGAGCGTCTCGCTCCGGTCCTCTCGCGAGAGGATTCGATCGCCCGGCTGGTACAAAGGGCATATTTTTATCGCGCTAATCTGGGATATTGTCTAAGAGAGGAGCGCACGTCGACGACGACGACGACGACGACACACCCGCCGTCCCTGACTCTTTCCCTGTCTCGATGCTCCAGCCCCGTTTTTCTCGCGAACGCATCGTCCGGGTTCAGTTCGCTGTAACTTGCATGTTTTGTCGGCTCGATGAACTTCTAAAGATGATCGTCACGTATCGCAAGCGCCTACACGCGCATCTATCGATAGCTTTACAACCCTTTGTTAAAACGTCCGTCGCGCGGCAGGACCTCGCGGGCCGGGCCTGCCGGCGACCCACAAATTGGCTAAGCATGCAGAGTTAAATGGCTCTATAACGCTACGAGACCAGTATGACTATGTACCAATCAGTGAGATAATAATATTATCGTACGCCGACTTTTCGCGTCTCCCTTCCACCTTTTATCTCTCTTATTTCTTCTTCGCGCGCGCGCGCGCGCATCCTAATATCTCCTCTATCGTTCTGATATATAATCGCTGTACATTTTAAACGTCGTGTGACCCGTTCGGAAGAAGGGTACCTCTGCCAATCCTTCCGCGGCTCGATCGCCGTGTGGGGGATCGTCTTTAATACGCAAACGCTTCTTCTAAAAATGTGCAAAACCCCGCGCGCGCTCCGGGTTTTACCCGCAATATTTACAGCATCTCGCGCGCGTCGCGCGCTTACATGTAATAAAACTTGGTGTTTGATGTAGCAAAGCTTTTTCTCTACTCTCCGTCCCTATATCAGTCGAAAAATTTCGCTCGTCGCTCGCGTCGCTCTCCCACGATTCAATTTCCAATTTCTTAAGATTAAGAGAGGAGAAACCGCGCGCGGAGTAAAATCCCTTCGACAAAGCGCACGCAAACTTATCGTCGACGTTTATTTTCGCTCCTCGATCAAGGCCACGTTCTTCCTCAGTCCTCCGCATTCGCACTTTAACGTCGGCGGTATACCGACGCGCTCGGTTCGTTGAAGATTCGAACGGAGTTGCGGGAGTTTCTCCCGCAACGCGATTACGCGTCCTCGATTATAATTAAGAAAACGACCGACGGCAATCGCGCAATGCAGTCTCGCTATACGTTTAACGTCGTACAACTTTATTACGTATCGTCGATCCTTTTCGGGGGACGAGAGGGCAATCGGTATCACGTCTCGCGACTTGGCCCTCGGCCCGCGCGAGAAAAGGAATCGAAAACTCGTTTGAGGCTACGGTCAACGTGACGCTACAAATGCTCCAAAGCATTCCTCTTCTCTTTTCTTTTAATGAAGAAAGAAGGAGAAGAAGAACGCTCCGAAGTATTTGCGTCAAGTGGACCGCAGCCTGAGAAGCACATCGCACGTGCGTGGAGATATCACACCCCGCTCCGTCGCGCGGGGACTTACGCTCCCTTATTTCTAAGTCGCGATATGATACCGCTTGCTCCGATCCCGAGATATAATTCACAAATATTGGTGTATCGTGTATCAACGCTCGAGTTCCTCGGCGCGATTAATATACCCCGATCGAAAACAAATCTGCTTCGTTCGGAACAAGTTTTTTTTAGAATCTACCCGATTGGAACACGAGTCCCTGCATGGTGTGTGTGCGAATTTCAATTATATTGGGTCCCTGTATTCATACACCATTTCCTCCCCTTTCGTCCGACTGATTTCCGATCATCCACGTCCGCGCGAATCTCCCTTACATTTATACACATTTGTGCGCGAGAGATCTCTCTATCGCGAAAGGAGGTGGGGAGGGATATCTCTTATTTTTCTCTCCCTTTCTTCGCTATCTACTTCGCGTAAGTAAAATTATTCCGCTCGGAAGTTGGAAAGGGGGCGACGGGGATGTCTCGTACATCAAGAGCTATACACAGTTCGCTATTATCGCTTTTGTTAATTTCCTTCTAACTATATCCTAACGCCAAGCAGCGCGAGTCACACCTATGTAATTATCGTTTCAATACATCCGTATGTTTATATGTATATGTATGTATATATCTATATTTATATGTATAGAGAGTATACTAGAGGTATTAATATATATATGTATGATACATATGATATATTAATATGAGATATAACATTATCTATGGTCACAGTGCGAGCGATTTTCAACACGGCAACACGGTACTTGAGCTTCGGTTGATCTGATGACGATCGGGACGCGATTTCAATGCCTATACGTTGACTCGCGGTCGTCCAACAAAATCATTAAGTCCAGTCAACGATCCGTTATTAATAATTATGTCGTATCGACGGGACCATACTCCTTAATTGCACGCTTCGTTCGATACCTATCTCTCTTAACCGGGGATGAAAACCGATAGATATATTAAATAAAAAATATATACACGTGTAATTATACATGTGATATTCATTATACATATGTATAATTTCATTGAATTCAGCCCTACGTAAGAATTACCTCGATTCTTGTTTGCGATATTCGCGTTCACGATTTTCTTTCCGACATCAATTTCGACCTCGCTTCGTGAAATAATATCTAAATAATTAAACGTTCAAACTTTTATCCTGTTCTCTCACGTTATATTAATTGCCATTGAAGATGCTCGTAACAATAAAGCGTAGATTTAATTATTCTGTTTATTGATGGAGGATTCTTCACGTGCCTACAACTGAAAACTGAAACTCACCGGTTTTGATCCTCGGCTACACACGACAGATCCTTGGAATTTACAGATCCTTATACTTGTTTTTCAGAAGAATTATGTGAGTTCCGAGAAAAGCTCGATTTGTTGATTTGATTAGAAGCGCGTTCTCTATCATGAATAACGAGGAATACTAATGGGAAAATTAAATCGAACCGCGATCGCTGCCTTCGTAATAATCGATTTAATTCATGGCTGAATTTAGTAGAACGGTGTCGAGTATTATCCGTAATTACCCGCTAAAATTTAGCTATATACTGTATAGATTCGTCACGATCGCCGTCACTGGAGACCACACGATATTCACGAAAGAGTTCCTGCAGGGGAAACGATGATAAATAACGTGTTACAACCTAAAATGCATCAGGTTTTGTATTGCCGGGATAAAACAGCATATAAACGCATTCTTCCTCTACCTGATAATTGTAGCGCGGGTAGAAGAGGCACTTTCTCATCTCGCGTGTCGTATATCACCTGTTTTCTATCTACACTAAAAATTTTGGGATGCACGTTTTTCTTTTCCAATTTTTTAATCGCGAGATATATGACTCATCCGCTAAATTAAATGACCGACAACGAAAATATAAATGGAAATCAGCAAACGTGTTTCATAAAAATGCACGTCAATTTTTAATAAATTAGGAGAAGTACGCCTCGTATGTACAACATTTCATGTTGGAGTGTTTACGTGATCAAATAGAAATAATGCTAATTATGCTATTAAGATACGATCAAAAATAAAATAAAGAACGCATGTGTTGTGTTAAAAAAATAGATCGTAAAATGCTGTATATTTTTACGAGAGTATTTTCCTCTTTTACCCGGGGAAGAGATACAATCGCAGTAAGTGACAAGACATTTGTACATCATGACGAAATGTATAATTCCACGTACGCACGCCTCTCCACACACAGTTCGATCGAGACCTTCTTTTTTTTTCTTGTCAAATGACTTCAGTTCAAACTGGCAGGCGAAGCGAAACAGAACATTCAGCGGGAAGCATGAATTGCGCTCGTGCATAGGAAAGTATGCGCGACATAGACGATCCGGTCGGAACGCACTGCTTCGCTTTATCGTTTATAAAATAGAAGACAATTATAATCGGCAGAGAGCTCGATAGTCAGTCAGTGTTCGCGAAGTAAAGAAGTTCGCATGAAATTCAAACATCACTCTTGTTACAACTGTCCCCATCATGCTTGCCAAGACCTTACTCGCAATATAGTTATTCTTTCTCTTCGGTAATTGTACATTATGTATACAGGCATTCGCATTAGCGATGTAAACAAGTTTATAACAAACAGAAATGTTCATTACAATATCAGTATTGCAGGGCCCAGTGGAATAAGACAAAGCACATGATACTTTTTACAAAAGTATATATAAATTTTTTTATATCAACATTTGCAAGCGCGATCTTACCTCGCGCTAATTTTATCAGCGCTTGCCGCTAATAAAATTTAGATATATTGACAAAAGCGATACGAAAGAAAAACAATATTTTCAAATTTTATATAAAACTTCACATTAGAGAAAAATGAAACTTTTGAATATGCGCATACATATTGTCTTATCCCAATCAGCGCCCGCGTAAAAAATTACATATCCCAAGAATCCAGTGACCGACTCTCAATTATCTACAATGTACAGATCCCTCTATTTCAATTTACATTTATTTGAATGCGGCCCTTCGTTACGCGCACGTCTGTTGATGAGTATTTCTAAACCGGTCCACGTGTATTGAGGTAGACGTAAAATATTAATTAAGTAGCCATTTCTGTCCCGTTGCGACTTCACGACAAGTTTGTTGGCAAGAATTTACAGCGACCGGCGTGTGCGATGTATAAAAGTACACACGGATAACTGAGTCAAGGCAATGAGTCCTAATTTTAAACCAAACACGATACCGAGCCCGCCAGTACCTTCACAGCGCATTACGAGCAGATCCCACGACTCTTGGAATATCTGTAGATAAATTAAATGACGAGTACGAAGAATGCGACACGAATGTGTGTAAAATAATGTATATATAAAGTATACTATGAAAAATTCCTTTTTAATTTAAGTTCTCTCATCACAAAATAAAAATACGATTTAACAAGTGTACAACTACAAATGGTCGCCGATGTGTTGAGAGTGTTTACGTTAGGAAGCACGCGCGCGGCCGTTTCTTTTTTTTTTTTCTTTTATGTGGAAATCAGCGGAATGTTGCAAGATCTTCTTCCTTAACAATTTCCGGATTTTGCGACACTTCGCTCGCTGCATTCGAGAGACAACTTTTTCCTTGAGGCGACTTCCGCAATATTGTCAAATCACCATTTGTAAAGGGTATATAACAATCTTTTCGAAACGTTTACTGTTTCGTAACATTTCCCACGCGGAGACACGCTCGTAGCGTACGAGTAATATAACAACATATGTTACAATTTATTTCCGTAATTCGTATTATATCAAATAGTTTTCTAGTGTGTAGTGTGTGTGTGTACGCGCTCTTAAAACGCACTTGCTCTTCGTACGCAAATTGTGGGTCGCTGAATTATAATTTTTCAGTACGGAAATAACACCTGACATTTACAAGTGTTTTCGGCTTCTTATCACACTCTCGATTTACGATTGCGACAACTGGGCGGTAGGACCGGGGTGAAAGTTGAGGGGGGATATTACAGATAAAACAATAAAAAACGCGATCACTTTTTGATTTGCAGCCACGGATGCTTCAGGCACTCGGCTGCGGTAGCTCGCATGCTCGGATTGAACTCGAGCATCGGTATTAGGAACTCTGCGAACTCGCGCGCTTCGCTCGGCGTCCACTCGTATTTCTCTGTCAACACTTCGTACAGGCCCCACGGTTTCAATCCGGTAATATGCTTCAACTCGCCCTTCCTGTTGAAGTATATCCTCGAGTTCTTCCCTGAGAGAGCGATGCGTCTCGGTATTTCTCCCAGCAACTCGATAATATGGGCCAAATGGTCTTCATCTCTGGAACGTTAATAAGTAATTGACTCAATCCTTGAAATAGCGTTGATACAATTTTTACAAAATTCACACAATTGCAGTTGAACCTTGTAATCGTTACCTGCAATAGTCTTTGCCATTGTGCGGTTCAAAAAGGTAATCGCCAGTCGCCAATTCGAACGCCATGCAAGCAGTTGACCATATGTCGGCAGAGGTGTCATATCCGGAACCTAACAGAACCTCGAGCGACCTGTACTGACGAGTTTGGATATCGTCCGTGAATTTCTTATGAACCCAGCATGCGTTCCCGAGATCTGCTATCTTCACTTCTATTTCGCAATCCATTATGGCAGGATCCAAAGGAGACATGGACGCCCGTTTCAACTGCTTACTTTCCGGAGGGTTCAATGACCTACGTTCTGCAAGTAAAACGATAGATGACAAATAAAATTGCAGTAGAAAACGAGAGAAAAAAAGAGACGTGTCGTCGCTCGACAGCGACGATTACTTTACCTTCGCTACCTTCGTCAGTATCGTCGGGATCAGGTGGTAGCATACCTTCGCCGCAGCTTTTCTCCACATCGCACAGAGTGACGTTGTCCATCTTTTCGGATTGCTCGGGCGATGGATTCTGTATCTTCTCACCGCCCGCCAAACCGTCTACTCCGTTCATGTGCAAGGAAGGCGCGGATGGCTCTGAGATGTCCGGAGAACCTTTGCTCTCCGTATTGTCCTCTATGCTCTCCGTATTGAGATCCTGGTCTAAGCTATTCGTTTCAACTTCCCCGTTTTCTCTCGTGTTATTCGCGAGTTTGCTTTGTTCCTCTAGCTCCTCGATTTGTTCCATCTGCTTCTTCAAGAGCTCATTTTGGCGCTTGGCCTTCTTCTTTAATTTCTTCTTCTTATTCTTGGACATTTTGGAGTTTGGCGTAGGTTCTTGAAACTCCTTCGGCGCGGTAGAAATCAGGGACACAGGTAACTTCGCTCCCATAGAATGCAGTTCTGTCGCTTCACAAGCTAATTTTCTTATATAAATCTCATCGACGCACACAAGAACATTCTCAGGTTTAATGTCTGTATGAATAATTTTACCTGAAAGAGAATGCAACATGTAGTGTACATAGCGGTAAACTTATTGAAACTTGTAGTGATTTTCCATTTCAGATTTACAATAATCTGTTAAACTATTGCATGAAGCGGACTACGTATATAAAATTGAAAATTGAATGCTATCATTGACTTAAACATTCATCTTACATTTATTATGAAGATAGTCGAGACCTTCGAGGACTTGTCTGATGACGCGCTTAACGTTATTTCTTGGAATTCCTCTGTAGTTCGACTTGATAATCAATTTAAGAAGATTATGTCCAAGCACTTCAAATACCATGCAAACATGCAGGCCGTTAATGCCGCTGATCTTGAAGTCATTGAGCAACTGGACGGTCTTGTTGCGCTTAGGATCGTTGGGATCCGTGTCGCGCACATCTTTTAATAATTTAATTTCATCCAATGCAGTCTCAGTGAAATGGGATGCGGATTTCACTATTTTAAGCGCCACAAAACGTTTATCCTGCAGCATAAGTTTCAAAAAAACGTCCCGTGTTTATGTATATGTGTGTGAAAGAAGAATTGATTACTTCATATCCGGGAATCGTACCTGCAGGTCCCAACAGAGCCACACGGTGGAAAAGTGACCCCAGCCGAGCTTGCGCGTGACGTGGTAGCGATTTAAAAAGAGATCCCCTATCTTCACGGGATGGTACCCGCCTTTACAGTAGTCACTGCTGTCCTCCTGCTCCTCGTCCTCGCTACTGAACGCATCGTCGTCCTCTATCGTTTCATTGCTGGAACTATGACATGGTACCGATCTACGACAAATTCGTCAATCGTAAATGATAAATTACTTAACTAACGCGACACTATCGAAACACCTGATTCTTCCTCGTGACACGAGAGGTGCGAGCTAAATCAGAGGGAAAAAGCGGATTGTGCGCAATCTGCCAGGTTTCACGTAGACCGTCTCTGGTGATATTCAACGAACATATATTTATTACCCAGTGATTTAGAAATAATATGTTGTTCTATTGATTTATAAATAATGTGTTGAAGATCATAAGTAATCGAATACGCGAATTTTGTATCCAGCGTTTCCTACGACACACCCAACACGCGTGATTGTCGCTCCAAGCTCCCGATTAATAAAAAGATTACACGAATAATTCATCTTAATCCTTCGTGCCACCTACAATCGTTACTCACAATTATTATCTTACATCAAATACCGTATTAATCATCGTTATCCACAATTTCTCTCCCCCGGCAATCACGAACGTGCATATATACATACATAATCACCCACTTATCGATATCTCCGTGACACAGGAACCCAAATGACGGAAAGGGAGTCGAAACGGAACGCGGCGTGCTCCTCGACGACGAGCTGTCATCGTCGACACGCGGCCCGTACAAAATCGCGAAAGCAACGTAACGTGAGGGGGATAACGCGGGGGTAACGCAACCGAGTCCGGACGATGAGTCTTCGTGCCGGCGCGCCGATCGGGCATGTCGGGGTTACCTGGTCCCGTTGTCGCTGTTGTAGGCGCGCTGCGGAAGCCTACTCGAGGCGTACACCGAGGCGTACTCGTACGTCGCGTTGGTGTTGGTGGTGGTGGTGGTGGTGGTGGTGGTGTTGCTGCTGCTGGTGGTGGTGGTGGTGCTGGTGATCGTGGTGGCAGCGTTGCCGGTCGTGCCGGTGGTCGTGGTGGCAGCGACCACCTGGCCGGTACCACGCGCACCCTTGGAGCTCTGCGCGTCCTGCTCGCCCTGGGAACCGGCCTTGCCCTTCCGCTTGCTCGGCTTGTGCCGCTTCTTCTTCGCCTGGATCGCCAGGACCCGCCTGTTGACGTCCGTCTTGGCGCTCATCCCGCCGACCACCTGGACCTCCGCGCCGAGCTCGACCAGCGGTGCCCCGTTCGCCGCTTCCGCCTCCGTCTCCACTGTCGTCGTCGTTCTCGTCCTCGTCACCGCTGCCGCAGCTGCCGCAGCCGCCGCCGCCGCCGCCGCTGTCTGCTATCCCTTGTCCAACGTTCTCTCCGCACGCACCGCACGCACGCAGAGGCACGCGCGACCCACACTTCCGCCCGTTCCGAGCCGCTCCTTCGTGCTCTCCTTGCTACTCGTTACTGTTACTGTTGCTGTTGCTGCCGCTGCCGCTGGTGCTCGCCCTCGCGCGAGCCGATATATCGCGGTTACACTCGCGCCGAGCGCCGATTTGACTCGACTCGACTCGTCTCGTCGCCTCGACTTGGCTCAGCTCAGCTCTCAGCTCCGTGCTCCGTTTGTCGCCTCGTCTGTCTCTCTTCTCCTCGCGCTCTCCTCTCCTCGTCTCTCTTTCTCACTCTCCTCGCTCTCTGCCTGTCCTGCAGCTTCACGCGCGCGGCCCGCTTCACGGAGATCGGTGTGGATCCTTCTTTCTCTCTCTCCCTCACGCCTGTTTTCCGAAACTCCTATTATCTACCTCATCTCTCGTGGCCGCGCACTCCCGACTCCGCTCGGCTCGGCCGTTGTTTGAGTATGGCCGTCGCCGCTTCTGCTGCTGCTGCTGTTGCTGGCTGTTGCTGCCGCTGACCGCGCTGAACGCACGCATGCACACGCACGTCTGCCCGTACGTCCGTCCGTTCCTACGTTACGTTACGTACGACGCGCGTCTCGCGTTCTCGACGTGTCTGTCGCACGCCTACCTACCCACCGAGCAGGTGTCGCCGTGCCTCGTCCCGCTCCGGCAGGTCGTCGTCGTCGTCGTCGTCGTCGTCGGCTACTCCGTGTGCACGCACGAATGCGATGTGTACGATAATCGCGATGCGACGAGACAAGCCGCCGGACGAGCAGCGCGCGGATCTCTCCCACCTCGCGCCTCCTCACCTCCAAGTACCTCGGTGCTCCTCACCTGCGACGCGGTAGAATCACCTCGGCTGACGAACGACGAACTCGGTTCGGCTCGACGCGGCGCAGCAGCGCGGCGACTCTCGGCCGACCGGGGGTTTTTTACGTCAGCGCGTCCGCGTCCGCGACCCGCGATTACGCTCCTCTCCGCGCCGTGGCAGCAGACGCCCGCGGGACCACGGCGTCGACGACTCGGGGGGCTGACGTTTCCTCTTCCTTTTTCTACGGTTTTCATTCATTCGTGAAATCTCCGCGCGCGCCCCTCTCGCAGCCACCCTCGTTTATTATGTATTTGGGGGATTGCGGGGTGGGCCGGGGATGCCGGGGATGCCGGGGATACCGTCTGCCGTCTTACCTCTAGGCGCGGATCTTCCGCTTACCTTTTCGGCGGCGCGCGATGATGACGTCCGCGTTGCGTAGCGTCGCCGTCACGGCGATTGCGCGCAACTTCACTTCGTATAAACAGGTTTGGGAGAGACGAGATTTATATATATATTGGATTAGCGCGCGGCTGAATATCGAGCGCGACGTGAGATTCTAAAAATGTATATACCTGTCTAATTAACCGCAAATTAAATGTAAATTCGGCGTCGCGGTTGAGCGTGATGAGTCGGATTGAAATCCTCGCGTGCGCGAGGCGAACGACCGCGCTTACTCCGAGACGCTCTTTTTCGGCAAGTTTTGAAAATGGAGCGGACGCGCAATTTATTGGAGCAACGCTTGCCTATTCCGAATTCGAGCTGATTCGACCTGTTCTAAAGTGACTGAGGAGCAAAGGATGTAGCATTGGACGGTCCAGGATAAGGATCCTCAATCTATGGGTTTGCGTGTCGAATCCGGACTCCGTGAAGTTTTATCCGGCTCGCCAAAAAATTTCTCGACGTTTATACCTGCGTTTGTTTATTCCCATTGGGAGCTATTGGGAAAATAAAATATATGTATAATACACATAACGTGAATAAACCAACGCAGGCTATATTATATATGTATATAAATATATATATTATTATATTATATATAGAAGGCCAATGAAAATTGTTGTAACGGGGGGGGGGGATCTAAATAAGTTTAATTTTTGAAAATCATATAAAAACAAATCATCTTTATTTTTAAATTCTTTTATACTATGAAAGTTATAACATATATACATATATATACTTTTTATTTTTCCAGAACTGTTTGCAAAAATACAATTTAAAGAAGTCATTCAATTATTCAATTTATAAAAATCTACATTGATTATATTGTCGACATGAGAAAAATTCACGTAAACATATTGTAAACAATATGCAAACAATCCACGTCGCGTAATTTTGAAAATTACCGCGCAATTCTGCGCGAGTGGACCCTAACGCTCTCTGTGATCATCTTCGGTAATTATTTGCATGAAATCCCACGTTTATCGGTAATCGGTAGCCAACCGCAGGATCGTCGCGAGCAGCGACGAGAAAGGAGGTTATCAGAGGCTTATCGTTTTTCATAAATATTCCACCCGTTATCAACCGGTATATTCATACATGCAAGAATTAGCGACGCCGACTGACATTCGACTTGAGAACACAAACGGTGAGTCTGCAAGATTCTTGGATATTTTATTAAATAAGTTTGAGCGAATTAATTTCGGTCGAGGGTCGCCTAATTATTACCGTCCATGTGACAAGATCTCTCCGGTCAACTCATTGTTGTTAATCACGTGTATTAACAAGCAAGTCACGTATGCCGTACGTAAGAACGACGAAGATTGGTAGAAAGAACGAAAATTATACGCTGATCTATATTTAGTTCCAACGTATCCTAAACTGTAGTTGTTTATTTTATTTAAAAAATTCATTTTCCAAGTTCATTTCCTGAAAGCACACATTTTAATTGTTACTTGTCTTGATGCATTTGTAATTCTTTAGATAGATTTGTCCCTCAAACGAAAAGATATGTATTGTCGTTTTACCTCTGACAGGTGAACTATGCTGTTGCAGGTAGCAATGGGTACGTTGGAACTAAAGCAGAGCCTGACCAGGCATAGGGGCAGAGTGTGGAGTGTCTGTTGGCATCCCAAGGGTGCGAATCTAGCGTCTTGCGGCGAGGACAAGACGATTATAATATGGGGATTGGAAGGGCCCAAGTGGGTTACGAAAATGATCCTCACCGAAGGACACTCGAGGACCATTAGAGAGGTGGCTTGGTCCCACTGTGGCAATTACATAGCATCGGCGAGTTTCGACGCCACTACCGCGGTATGGGACAAAAAGTCGGGACAGTTTGAATGCAACGCGACGTTGGAAGGGCACGAGAACGAGGTGAAAAGCGTCAGCTGGTCGATCTCCGGCCAGTTACTCGCCACGTGTAGCCGAGACAAATCCGTGTGGGTATGGGAAGTGAATGACGATGAATACGAGTGTGCCGCCGTTATTAATGCTCATACTCAAGATGTAAAGAAGGTACGTTTACAGATTTATCCATTGAAAAGTCTTTATTAAAGTATATATATTTATTAATAGAAATCTCTGTTACTTGGTCTGTCGATTTATAAGTAGAAGATTTATATCCAGTGTACGTGAAAAGAGCGTGCTTTTAGGTGAGGTGGCATCCACACGAAGAGATCCTGGCCTCCGCCAGTTACGACAACACGGTGAAGATATTTAAGGAAGACGCAGCCGACAGCGACTGGTCGTGCATCGCCACCTTGTCGTCTCACACGTCCACGGTGTGGAGTCTTTCGTGGGATAAGATCGGCAATCGTATAGCGACCTGCAGCGACGATCAAACGGTGAAGATATGGCGAGAATATAAACCTGGGAACGACATGGGCGTCGCTACGCCGAATAACGACCCAGTTTGGAAGTGTATCTGCACGTTGTCGGGATACCATACGAGAACTATTTACGACATCGACTGGTGTAAGACCACGGGTTTACTGGTGACCGCGTGCGGCGACGATATCATTAGGATATTTAAGGAGGACGGCGACTGCGACCCGCATCAACCGAATTTCACGATGGTTTGCTCGATAAACAGCGCGCACGCTCAAGATGTTAACTGTGTTCAGTGGAATCCCGCGATTCCTGGTCAACTCGCGTCCGCGAGCGATGATAGTTCAGTCAAGATATGGTTTTATAACGAATAAAGTATACATCTATAAGATATATGATTCTGTCGTACTTTATTTGTCTTTTTTTTTAACTTAGAAGTAAGACGATCCAAAATTAGTGGATAATAAATAATAACGTTTGTTATAAAATTAAGAGTTATTACCTCTTCAGAGTAGCATGAGAGAAACGTCATTATTTCACCTAATTTTTAGTCGAATTTTTTATTTTGTGTAGCAACGAACAAATTTTGCTAAAAATTGTAAGTTACATAGAATGGTGAATAGTTTTATTTCTTTCTTTCTTTCTTTGAAAGCTTAATTCGTACAAGATTCTCTAATTTCAGTAGTTTATAGTGTAACAGTTCAATATCTCGACATTTTTATTAACAAAACTCGACTTTAATTTTGTGATAAATAAATGGTAAATTAAAATATATCTGGATACTATTACCTTCAATATAACTTTGTACTTGAAATATATTTATATATAAGTCATATTATCCATAAATACGTTTTTATTTCAGAGCTGCACATAAATGCTGAAGCGCTTGTACAACGTGGGATTATCTTGCGAGAATTTTTACTTTCGATACAGATATATTAGACAGTACAAAACTGTACGCGCGATGAGTCACGCTGCAGAAAACAAAGGCATGCCGTTGAAGGATGTTGTGAGCGCAATGAACAAGTTTGCGGACACGTCGCTGGCAGCTTCTTGGGATAATGTTGGATTACTGGTTGAACCTACGGAACCGAAGATTGTGTCGCATATTTTATTAACAAATGATTTAACCGAAGATGTCATGGATGAAGCTGTCAGATTAAAAACCGATTTGATCGTCACGTATCATCCGCTAATATTTGCTCCGTTGAAATCTATCACAACTGCATCTTGGAAGGTACCGTGATGTCCTGTAATATAATCTTCATTGAAATGTTATTGCAACCTGATTTTCTTTATATTATTTTTTTATTTTGTATAATAGGAACGAATAATAGCGAGGTGTCTAGAAAATAAGATCGCTGTCTTCTCTCCGCACAGCAGTTTTGATTCTGTGAAAGGCGGTGTAAACGATTGGCTAGCAGAAGCTTTCGGTAAGAAGAAAACCCGTTACAGGATCTTTACCTCAATCATTAAGATTAAAACATTAATCTTACCATTTAAATTTATATTTTAAGAGCTCGAGAGTAGTAATCCGATTCAGCCAAACGAGAGTAACGCGACTTATGGATTTGGAAGGTTGTGTACCTTGAAGAGCCGAATATCTATCGACGAAGCGGTAAATTTAGTAAAGCAACGAACTAATCTGAAGTACGTAAGATTGGCACGTGCGCGCGGTACAGGTGAGATCTTGGCAAAAATAATTTAATGCTGAAAGAAAGAAATCCAAACTTGATGGGTGATAAATAAATGTACACATTATTTTGCATCATTATTATTATATTTCAGATGGTTACATTAATACCGTGGCATTATGTGCCGGATCGGGCGTGTCGGTATTGAAAGGAATATCTGCAGATTTGTATCTGACGGGAGAAATGTTGCATCACGATGTATTGGACGCTGCGCATCAAGGGATTCATGTTATACTAACGAATCATTCTGATTCAGAACGCGGTTTTCTAAAGATATTTGCTTCGATATTAAAGCGCAGCTTGGAAAAACCTGTCGAGGTGTGCGTCTCCGAAAGTGACGAGGATCCACTACAAACCGTGTAAGCTGTGAAAAGTAAGCTTGTAAAAAAAAAAAAAAATATTTACCGCATCTCTTGTCACGTCAATCGTATGTGATTTAACAGCGATTGAATATTCTATTATGAAAGAGGGCAATATTGGAAATAAAAGTTTTTGGTTTCTTTTTATTTAGCATCACGTACACTTTATCCTAATAGGACTTTAATTTTGAGATTATCGTGATATTGATCGTTGAAAGATCATGTACGAATAAGGTTTCAGTTAAGGAAGTATCGACTTGTCTTTTTCTCGAATTCGTTAACAAATAGTTTCTAGGGAGGACTGCGGGCCATTCCGTATATTAGCAGATTGTTTATCGTGACCCAAATTTTGACTTGAAATTTTGATTCTCGCGTCCAACCTGTTTATTTTCGATTTAATGATTATTTCAATATCATGAATAAATCTATATAAAACCAAATCTAATCCTCGAATGTAATATCGTTTATATTCGAAATTGGAGCAAGACAGCGATATACCTTAAAAGACGTTCGAGACGCATGATTTAATCATAATTGATTTATTTGCACGACAATAACAAATAGCTATTATCTAATAGACTCGCCAAATCAAGAAGTGGTCGGAGAGTCTCGAATCGTCCACACAACGTCGAATAATTTCCCGGCCAAACGCACGGCGTACACCCTCTAATTTGTAGAGCGACAACGATATAGAAGCGTGTGTTGTGAGACCAAGATGCCGTAAATCCGAAACTGACCGTTTAAATTCGTTAAACAATCCAAGTCTTCGAGATGCAATCTAACATTAATAAAATTAAGCTATTTTTTTTTCTTCTTCAATAAATAATAGAATCTTTACTATGCTTTTTTTTGCGCGACACAATATATTAAAGGTAACACACTTGAAACGTATACACGTGGAAGAGAAATTTCCTATATGCTTTCTGTGGAAAAAATCTGTATTCAAATTAGGCGCGAGAGAGAGAGGCAGATCAATCTTCGCTCGCAATGCGCAAGCGTAGGGATGACGTCACGCTCACCGCGCTTTTACGGCGCGATTCGCGCTCGCGCATTGCGGACGGAGATACTCTTTCCTTGAAAAAAAAAACATAGTTCTTCGAGTTCTCTCTCTCGCACCGTCTCGCACCCGATTTGGACACAGGCTCGATCCTCCGTTCCCCTTCCAGGTACATATGTTCTAAGGTAACGCATTAGATTAAACAAAGACACATTACATATCAATGTTCGTACGGTAAACGGGGACAAACTTTCCTCGACAATTACAATCTCGAACCTTATGATGCCAAACTTGTAATTATAATCTCTTTTCATAATTATCATCACCACATTTGAGCTCTATAACAGTCATTCGAAGCGCACTATAGATCCACGCCGTCAAATTGTTTGGTATGAAATGAAGCGCGAAACGTTTGATAGGTCCGTCTCGAATTGGCGAAATAGAAATTTAACGTGATTGTAGCACACAACATTCGATGGTTACCGAAGCGTTATTTTTCGTTCGAGCGCGTCAAACTTATCGGAGCTTCTTCTCTCATCGGGGTTTGAAGACGATCTCGTTATAAGGAACAGTTTCCGCTGCACAAAAACTTATACCGTTTGTATGAACGCGTTCTGTTTGCAAATGATTCCAATCATACCTCAGCGTGACACGCTCATTCACACATCATCGAATATTTCCATTTTAATGGCTTTACAGTGTATCTTATGTATATATATATATTTTTTTTTTTTTATTTTTCGTTATACGTGATTCTCTCCTCTCACAACGTAATAGATTTTAACACGAATCTCTCTCTATGTCGAAATCTAAATTATTCCTGTAACATTAACATGTACGCAGCTCTTTTTCTTGGCAAGCGCAACGTATATTGTCTTGTAAAAACGTGGGTAAAGCAAAATAGATGTAACGTTACCTGTTGCTCGGGGGGTCTGGAGCACCCGAAATTAAGTAACTGGCAGATATTTTCGCAAATGTACTCGATTTTCGTTTACCCTGTTCTTCGCCCTGAATCGCACATTTACCGTGTTTCAGCACAAACGAAAATTTGATTCTTTTTTTTTTCATCTCTTGCACGAGGCAAGAAGCGTTTCGGTTTATATAACTATCGATTTTACAGTCAATTTAGAAGAAACCGCCATTTGCGGCCCGAACTGGACCTTGGTAGCCTAATACTACTTTTCTCTGTGTGCATTTTGTACCCATATTTTTCCAACTTATTAAATCGCGCGCCGATTGTTTGTCAGACTTAAAACACAGTTATTGTTGGAACATTAAAATCCCCCCTCTTTCCCGTAATTAAATCGATTTTATTTTGATATTATAAGCATCTAAATCTGCGTGAAGAATTTACTGCGAAAAATATTATAATATGGAACCTCTCTCAATCTGTGCGTCGAATTGGTACGACACCCAGGTTCGAACCCTGGCTGAGGTAATATTTTTTGCAGTAAATTCTTCACAGTGATTTAGATGCTAATAAGAAAGTTAAATCGAATCGATTTAATTAGGGCGACAGAGGGGATTTTAATGTTCCAACAATAACTGTTTTAAGACCGACAATCGGCGCGCAGTTTAACAAGTTGGAAAAATATGTGTATGAAATATACACAGAAAATAGTATTAGGCTACCAAGATCCAGCTCGGATCGCAAATGGCATGTTTCTTCTTAAGTGATTGTGTATCGTGACGGTCTTGTTAAATATTTATCGATTTTATCCTTGCACATCTTTTACGTATACGTTACGATGCTTTCGATTCCGAGGTACGATTCACTCTCGTTATATTCTCCTATACAGACTTTCGTGAGGTACGCTTATTGACGTAGACAATACGTATAGGCTACGGTTTACAGTCCGTAAAGAATATTGAATAATTCTCGCAAGGTATAAAGACTAGTTTTGATTAAAGGACTATGTTACGTCGTGTAAAGGCTATATTTTCCATTCAAACGTATTTAATAAACAATAAATCATAGGGAACGACGGTTAGTAACAGCCTTTGATAACAACGCATCCAAATAACAGGTGTACAATATAAATCACGTTATCGCGTTAGAAAGACTCTCGAACTTGTGGCGGTTTATTTTATCGATCGTTTTTATTCATACTGCATGGAACGTTTCAGCGGTGGGTGGATGCTTCTCTCTCTCTCTCTCTTTCGAGGAAAATCAAACGGTCAGGTGCGAAGGAAGGATCCGAGAGAAAATATATCCGACTAACGTTTCACAATGGTCCAGCTCTACGTCTAATAAGGATGATTCAGGAAGGTCAAAAGCGTCGTCGAGATCATTACAAAAGGTAAATTGGCTAATCTGAGCTGCCCGCCGTGCTGCATCGCGGCTGGATGTTCCCCTGCAAAGCGAAAGATTAATGCCCTCTCTTTTGCCGCTTTTTCCTTCTCTTAAACCGCCCCCGGCCGCGGTAATATTTATTTTCTCGCGATATACTATACGCGCCCGGATAATTGGGACTGAATAGCGTGTAAAGATCGGCCATTAAGGGTGCATTAAGCCACCCATACAGACCTGTTGTAACAGTCTGCGTAACAGCAGGTGCGTTATAAGATTAATAAGTATACATACCATTAAGTACATGGACTAAGACTGTCTTTGTGTTGGCGTTGCTCGGATGGCAGGTGTATTGTCCGCTGTCCGCCGCTTGAGCACGTTGAATTAGAAGGTATGAGGTCGTTACTTCACCCTTCTCCGTGATAACCGATACCCCGCCTCGCGGACTGTCATAATTGATCACCTGTCACGTGCAGGCCCCGGAAAAAAAATTTTATTCTAATTAAATCTCCTGTAACGCTTATGCAATAGTGTTCGACAAACCGACCGAAGGGATCAATTAATCGGGTGATTAATTAATCCTCCGTCGGAAAAAAAGGCCTCGCTCGCGGACATTGGCGATACCTCGCAGAAGGGCGGAAGGGACAAAAGAAGGTCGCTGTAATAAAGTAGCTGGATTTTTTATCCTGGATTATACGAATGCGAGAGATAAATCCTTTAGTTCCGTCTTTATCCCGGCGCGAAAAGCTTCGTGGAATTCCTCTTCCGCGAATAGCGTCGTAAATAGTGAGTTTTGTCGAGAAAATTGTGCCTTCGCTATTAATTTATTGAAAAATAAGCATGTTCTTCTTGCGCCTAGCGGCGCGTGCGTTATCGCGTTGCGTTTTTCGCGGGTGTATTTCGGGGACGTGGATTAAAAACGGGCAGCTCTCCTTTGAGCTCGATCGCGTTTCCCGGTTTGTAAACTCTGGTGGGAATTCAGTTTTGAAAACTTTAGTGAAACTGATATAGCAGTTATCAGTTTATGTCCGTATATTTCGTTGAAACTCATAATGTTTCAAAGCTGAACTTACAGCACTTTCAAAATAAACGAATCGTATGTCACTCCGTTGCAGAATGGATTTCAAAAACTTTCGGAGTATGCGTGCGAGAGAGAGAGAGAGAGAGAGAAATAGTAGAGACAGCGGCGAAGTACCATAAATCCAAAAATACAACTACAGCTCGGGACATCTCGTCTGTTTTATATTAAATGTCGCTTTTTTTTTTGTATTATTTTCTTTCCGAGTGCAGTTTGAGTGCCGTTTCGCGTCTCTGTATACGACAATTTCTTTACCCGCGCTCATATTTTGTCTGCTTTAATTTTAACTTTTCCATATATCCACATCGCCCATTTGTTCTGCCTCTTTTAAATTTAGACGATCGCTTTTTACTCCTCTCACGTCCGCTTAGAAAATGGATTTTGATTGAATCATGCCCCGCGCGCTTATTACACATCTGGCAACGAATCCCCCACCGTTATTATCCGCAACGTCATATATATTCACGTAATGCATATTTATCGAGAGCCTACAACAGATAGCAACTTGCGCCTTCCATATTAAACAAAGTAGCGATTCCACGTAGCTATTCGGATCCGCGGAAAATGTAATATATGCGGGAATACCTTCAAAACTGTTTGAGGTATCAAAAATTCCGTCTAGCGTGTTTCGCGTAAAAATTCCAAAGCGTATGCATACCGGAGGCCGGAAACGAAAAATATTACATTTGCTTTTAGTCAGTATGAAAGCAAAATATTTTATTTGCGTTTCTCGCTTTGCCACACAAATCAGATACGTGTCCGTGTGAGTTTTTTTTTTCGAAATTAAAACGAAAAATCAATCATGAAACACAGGGCAACCCGTATTTAATTAAGTTTTGATATGAGCGGAATTAATAACTGTTCAAATAATTATTTCAACCACACATACCACACGTATGTGTATGCGTGTATAATATTTCGAATGTCATTACCTATATACACGTGCGCCATATTTCATTTTTGTTTAGTCGTACTGACGGAGCATTTTTTTTAACAGCGTCTCGCTTTTACGGATTTTTTCGTGTATCTTGAAAATATTTCGGAAACGAGATATACGGCGAAATATTTGGCTTTCATTGAACCTTTATTTAATGAAAGTTAGCGTTTAATACATAATATTAACATATTCCCGTTTCACAAGCTGATCCAACATTCATCAGCGTTTGCATGCCGTTACTACAGCCGCATGCCGTCAGCGAATTCCAATGCAACAATGGCACGACGGGCTAAATGCTGTCGGCGGGCCACAAAATGTCCAAAATTCTGAAAATCCAAAATGTCAAATTGGCAATGCTCAATTGACATTAACATCCGTGTTTTTGCGGCCCTCTCCGTGTATCGCGTTTAGTTTCCCGTCGGCACCGCTGCGTGATTCTCTTAACGCAATACCATTTTTTCTATCTTTATCTCTTGTCGTTTTTAACGAATTAAATCTCTTCCCAAAACAGAATATAAACGTATTTAATTTAACAGTCAAAATTTAATAATATCAATTGAATGTAATCTCACTTGTATTATGTATCCCAATAGTCACAGCGTACTCTACAACAATCCATATAAAGCGATAAGCGCTGATCTTGGAACAAAAAAAAATAAGTCTTACCATTTGTGAGAAATAAGGATGAATTTAATCCCCAATACGATTTTGTTCGGAAGATTATTTTGAAAGATTAATTACGACACGTTTGATTTATTTCACAATAATCTCCGCGCGTCTGCAGAATCTGTGATAAGTTCTAGTATACAGATACTTTCGAACTGAAATGTTTGTCTGAAGATACATTTCTAAGGCAAATGATATTCCAAACCACAATGTTTTTTTCCTGCGACGTAACTTTCTCGAATTAGGACGATCTTATGTAAACCTTTTTATAATGAGGATACACAAAGCGGATTACATTGTGGATAATGCCGAGTGCTCTCGGGTCGATGGGGAGGTTTCGCTACGAGCGTCGGAAACTCTCGCAGTCGAACACACCGCTATTTCCGCGGGTCACCGCGAAATTTTATTTCCTCGTGAATTATACCAAAGCTTCTCGGTGCGCTTGCTATTTATATAAGTATCTCAATTTTCCTCGCAATTGCAAACGTAACGCAAAACGCAATTACGCGTAACGAAGTTAATAGACACCGATACCCGAAATCAATTGTCCCGGCGGCGGCGGTGGCACGATTGCGCGTTTACCGATATTTATGCTACGTACTGCATATCTCAACACGCATAATTCTCCCTATACGAACGACCGGGGGAGGGGGGGGGGAGGTTAACTAGGTCGCTACGGATGGAAGGAGTGCGTGCGACGAGACAGACGGAAAATATGGGGCCAGTAGGAAATACTGCACGTCAAATTTTTCACTCGGGGGTTCGGGATATCGAGGCAGGATTGGCTAGCACTGTATAGGATGCAATAGCGTCCGGGACGGGATAGAAAGCGAATGATGAGACACCGGCGGAACAAGTACACGAGGAGAAATCTCTCCCGTGCGCGCGCGACGCGCGGAAGCTTATCGGGATCGAGGACGACGGAACAGATGGGATGTGTTCCTCGTTCGGGAGAGGAAGAAAGTCAAATTCTGCGGAAGATAGACTAAGAAATAAAGTGACAGACGAGCGGAAAAAGGACTTGGACCCGCATGCGAGGATTGCAAAAATCGGATTGCGAAAAGAAAATCCTCAAATGAGGGGGAAAAGGTGAAAAAGGAAAGATAGCCAGTGAAAAGAAGGAAAATAAATCCGCCCGTGGAGTAGGCCAAGAAAAACTTCGACGAGCGTAAACAGGAGAGGAGATGAAAATAAATAATGAAAATAAATATCAGGTCTGCAAAATGATATTAATTGTAAATAAATAATAGATATCAATGATATAAGCTATAAGCAACAAAGCAACTTGAACAAGTTACTTATATTACTTATTAACTAGTTATTTATTGTCACAATTTGTTGCACCACGTCCTTGTTCAGTTCTTAATGTGTCGTCGCGCCTTGTTTATCATTTCGTAATACAAGCAATTTAAATAAGTAACTTGAGCAAGAAATAAATAATGGCAAACAAGTTGCGATGAACGATACGTTGGGAACTGAATAAGGGGAATTGGTGCAACAAACTGTGACAATTAAATTAAATGTTGCACGTTTATCTCAGAACTGCGTCGCGAATTGCGAAGAAATATTGATAAAGTGAACTGAGAATGGGTAATAAACGGAGGAACGGAGGTGTACAGCGCGCGATATTGGCGAGGAACATTACGAAACGGGAGATACCGCGGAGGACGACGAGAGGAGTTAATGCGATGAACTGTCGGTGGAGTTCGAAAGTAAGAATATAAGACCTGGAGTAGAGAAGCCCGCGAGGTACAGAGACAGAAACACGGTCGTGGAAATAGGTGTTGTATAATGCGACCAGGGTCGCGGCAAAGCATACTAGAAAAACTTTACGCGGCAAAGAGAAAGAGAAGGAATAACAGGGATAGGAGATAGGTTTTGAAGTTGAGAAATGAGACGGAGTTCTTTCCGCGGTGTTCGTACATTTAAAAATTCCACAAGGAGAAACGTTCCGAACAGGTAATATTAAAATTAAAAGTTTTCCCTCTACCCTCCCCTCCCCCCACTCTCTATCTCTCTCTCTCTTTTCTCAGCAAACTTAGAATCTTAGATTTAAAAACTTGCTTAAAACGGGTCGCATGATGGAGTGAGGACGGAGTAGATCGAGTGTAAGTTGAATGGGAGATGGCAAAGAATTATGGCAGCGGGGAGAACAGTGGATTTAAGTTACCGTCTTTTACCGTCCTAGTTGGGAACGGCGATTGAAAATTAATCCACCAGCGTTTCCGTCTCCTTTTTGCTTTCATTTCCGTCAAATGAGAGCCGCGCTTGATGACAAAACTTACCTCATGATCGTGAGTCCAATGAATGGTCAAGGGTGGCTCGGGACTGTGCCGCACGACGCAGGTCAAGTTCATTGTGCTATCCTTGTTTATGTACATTTCCGGTTCTCCAATGATCGCCGTCACGGGCTCTATGGACGATAACGAAAGAATGTGCATGGAAGTGTTATTAAAAAAGTCGCATTACCCATGATCATTAAAAAAATCCGTATCTTACGTGAAAGTTTAATATTAGTAATTTATTAATGTAATGCATTAATGTAATGTATTAATTAACGAAGAGGTTCTGTCGGATATCTTGTGTGGAAATTGCTATTTATAATGTGTTATTTAGACGACATTTAAATGAAATTTAATTATTCTCTTCAAAAGATTAATTTCATTTCGAGACTGCAATTTATAAAAGAGATTTTATATTTATCTTCACTCAATAATAATTATGTGATAAGCATTTCAAATTTTATACTTTCGTAAAATTTCGTAATTGGGGAAAATTATAATTTGGCAAATGCGAACTTTATAAAAATCACAAAGGAAAACGTTAATTCAAGGTAAAAAGGACATTGCATATTCATAAAGAATTTAATATCTCCAATTAAAATTGTTATTGGATCAACTATCAACCTTCGGGTCGTTTTCTTTGTAATATTTTTTTGATGTAAAATGAAACCGGAATAATAAGCTAATGAAGCTAATGAAAGTCGGCGATGAGTTTAAACGGAAATGAAAGAGACAAAAATTATAAAATTATACATACTGCGCATACTTATTAATTAATTTTCTTTTGATTAAATTTATTTTCATCTTTTTTCCGGATATTTGTAATTTTATATTATTCCGCTACAGTATTTAATTCATGAAAATTAATGGAAAAATAGCTGCAACAAACAATGATTTATAAATAAATAATTTTTCAATTTAAATAAATATTTTCAATTGAAAAGCCATGCAATTAATGACGAACTGTTTGCGTTAAACACATTGCGTTTGATATTTGTTTGCTTCTCGTTTGTTATTACTACATTTAGAAACACTGACATTATCGATCATATAGAATCAGCAAACATGCACTATATCAGATGTTAATAAACGATAAACATTAATAAATGATTCGTTATTAATGCATTAATGCATTAACGCACAACTGAAAAATTAATGAGACGTATCTATGTCTCAAGTTATTATTTTTTAATTACTAGTGACCCTCGAACGACACGATACTCGAATTACACGGTAAAAAAAATTGTGACATCTCTATTTTTCAAAAGTTTTTTTTTTTAAATAATCCCTTGGAACCAAATGCCCACTCAATTTTATATATGAATCTAGAGTTTTGAATTGCACGATTTTTAATAGCACGGAACGTGATCTTCAAAATTGTATGACTCCTGAAAAAAGTCTCGAATAAAACGCGGTTTTCAATAACACGGAACCAATTAATCGAAGGTTACCCGTATTATACTTTATTCCTCAGCTTTTTTTCCTGCTAAATGCTGCTAACCCAGCGAAAGAGAGTTTATCGCGGTTAATAATTCAGTTTTACAGATACTTTGGACATAGTATTGAAAACCGCTGGTTCAATTCCTAAATTTCGGAATGAGAGGAGTCTGATATTAACGTCAGATTATTAATATCAGGTTGATATTAACTCCGGAGTCACACGAAGCTGATTAAAGTCACTATCCGCGGAACGGGGAGCGCGAGCGCGTGTATAATGACAGAAATTTATAATTCGCGAAGTTCGCGAAGACGAGATTGCAGTCCGTCTGGTAGGACGAATCTCTCGCCGTGCGCGAACTTCAACGTGCTTCATAAAAATCCGAAGACAAGGATGGAGAAGGTCGATATTCCCCGATTTCATAAAACGCATATACGTCCCCTCGACCGTATCCGTCCGATAATTTGATCCTTCCGGGTGAACTCACCCGATAACGTCAGCGCGCGCGACGCGCGAGCAGGAGACAAGAGGCGACGCGACGGTGAAACACTCAGGTCTCGCCCGTCCCGTCGAGGGAACTCCACGTGAATTAAGTCGCGGCGGTAAATCAGCAGCGGGGTCCGTGGCGCGGCAAATGCCGCCGGGTATATCGCGATGCACGTGCGGCGCACATTAAGCTTCCGGCAAATAGATATAGCGTGAATTTCCGCGTCGCGGCGAAATCAGCGAGGCGCGCGCGCGCACGCGTGTGCCCCGGCGCGGCGGTGCTTCCCAGCACGCGCTGCTGCGGTCGCGAAAAGGGAAGAAGAGGAGGAAAACTGACCGACGACGGAGAGGAGCATGGAATGACCTATGGGCGGCGTCGTGGACACTTGACACTCGTATGTGCCGGAATCTCGTCGTTGAGGGTATTTCACTTGTAGCGTCCAGTCCTCCGTGTGAGGGAAGTGCGACGCGACGAATCTCTGGTCCGACGTGTACGTCTCGACGCCCACGGTGAGAAGATGGATATCCCTGTGTCTCACCCATGACACCTGGAAGAAAAAAAGAAAAGAAAGGGACACGTCGCGAACGTCCATTTCCAACATCGTCCGCGGTATGGATGTCCGCCCTTTTCCGCGCGCAGCTGAGCCCCGGTGGGCCCCGGAATGAGGCGTCCGCAGGTTCGATCAAGGGATTGCGGTATAATTTAACCGGATTTCGCGATACTGTGGACATGTAAAAATGATCCCTATACCGCCCATCTGATGTAACGAATAGTATTCGGGGGGGTTTTTTCCCCCACAGCGCGAAACCGCTCCGCGAATAATATATATTGCGAATTCATTTTCAATCCCCGATATGTAATTCAGTGCTTTTTTTTTCATCACTTCTTTTTGGCTCGTTTTAATTTTTTACATTTACGATAACATTCGACAGATCGTGTCTTACGTTCCTCGAAATGGATCGACGTGATTGATTTACGTAAACGTATAGCGTGCGTTTGAGCGATATTATATTAGCGGGTACACGCGAAATGCCGAACACGTAGGACAAAAATGCGTATTCTCCCATAAAAACGGCTTCATTGAGTTTTGTTACGCGTGCTCGGCGTACCGAGGCTTGATATGAAAAGGGGAAAAGGTACGGGCAGAAGAACCGTAACGCGGCTTTTGTTCATATGACGCGCGGTTACGATCTGGTGCTAATGAAAAGCGCATATTCGATTTTACCTTTTAATAAAGAGAATGGAACAGCCGTGCGTTTTCGCCCCTCTCTTCCCCCTCTCGGCTCATAAAAAAATGCCTCCACCGGCAAACGTATAGTTGAAATAATTTTTCAAAGGCCTGCGAGCAGGTCCGGCAATCTCATTTACAAGAACGTAAATAAATAAATGTTAACGTCAAATTCGGCCAGAAATGTTAAATTCTATGGGGGAAATTAAATTATATGAATGTAAAAACAATTTAATTCAATTTTTATTTAATTTTGTAAATGTTTTTGCAAAAGAATGGACGGTGATGGACGTGTTTTGAAAAGTTTCCCTCCCCCCCGGAAGCTAAACAAAATGACGTTCAAACTGCCTTTTAAATACCAGCTGATAGAAAGCATATGGAAATGTCCAAAGTATATTTACGTTACTTTCGCGTATGGATATGGAGCGAAGCAATCATATCGCATAGTTCAGATTATACGGGGCTGTAATTAAAATAGTTTAGCGCCCTTTGTCCTTCCGCCTCAATAACACGAATTTGCCCGCGTGCTTGCCGACCTATATTTACCCACCGTGCAGCAACATTAGAAATCTCCTCTCGCGATTGCGCGAAATACGGCAGGAACGTTTGTGTATATATACCTAATACGCGCGACTCCGCGAGCGGAATATGCTTATACGCTAAAGTGGAAACATCGATTTATCAATTTACGTCAAACTTGTACGCTTTCGAATACTTTAGCTAGCCATTGGAAAATCCGAACTTTTCCTCCCCCCCTTTCCCACTCCTGCCAACCCTTTCCTTTCCACCGTCGTGATTACCGTGTAGAATTGACTACTATATATACGCGAAAAGTCACGCGAGCAAAGAATCTTAAGCTTTCAGAATTCCATTTTGAAAATGTCAATACGTGCGTTCACTTCAAATACGACAGTGCCCGTAAGTGTACAATTTTTCGATAGCGTACGTGCACCGAGCGTACCTTTCTGACGTATTAATCGACGTGTTAAGCGACATACAATAATAATAATGCACGCAATAATAATAATGTAGAAAAATATTAATCTGCAGCAAAGTGTGGCTCATCTATATTTTAATGAATAATATAGCTAAATGTTATATATAATACCCGAACTCTAGACGATATGAGAAAAAATAGCTTTTTCCACAAATAATTTCAACCGTGAAAATTCTCGCATTACGTTCGAGATTAATCCTTTGCTTACATTAATATAAATTTTCCGCTGAAATTAATGTGATTTTATGGGAAATGTGGAAAATGTGCTTTGCTTTGTAGAAAAAAAAAATAATAATTCGACATATCCGCACGTAGCCGCAAATTTTTAATAAAGGTAGAAAATGGTATTTCTCATATTTGGTTATACATGTTAAAATTATCGCGATACAATTCGCGTATTATCGTCATTTGGAATAACAGGTTTTCCGTTAAAATTAATGCCCCTCGTATGAGGCCGGGAGGTGTAAAATTTACATTGCTCTGTGAAAACTCTAATTCAACTTACCCCACGCATGGACGCAGCGAAGAGAGACAGATTGTGTGCGGGGGAAAATATAAAAAACGGTGTTAATGAAATAGAGACGAGCGGCGCGCGCGAGCAAAAACTCAGACGCGAAAGATGCGAAAGGGGGTATATGATGCCTTTTTTTGTCGAAATCCCTCTCGGGCGTTCTGTCCCGCGCGCGCGCGAGTTGAAAAAAGCGCGGAGAAAAAAGGTATGGCAGTCGAGATATTGCAGTCTTGCCCATTCTCGCGGTGTTCTTTGTATATATATGAGTGTCTCGTGATGGGCCAACTTTATTATACATGTGACGGAAAAACTACGCCCAGGGATATGAAACTGCGCCGCAGTCAAGTTTTGCAACTAATCGCGTTTCGTGGTTCGTATAAGTTTCGCGGCGTCGATAGCCACGGCGCTTTCCACGACTCTCTCTCTTTCTCTCTCTCTTTATAATTTATTCATAAACTTTCTTCTATAAATGGCACCGCGACGTCGCAAATAACACGTACGTACGTATTTATCCGCCGCGACAAGTTTAATCGTCTCGCGCGCGCGCAAGTCGTGTATTTTATATTTCACTCTAAAGCGCTTAGTGCATCGAGCGTAGTGGAAGAATCCTTGACGGGTATCAGTCGATACGTGTGCCCGTGAAAGAAGTTGCGTTATCTAATAGACAGGCTTTTAATAAAAGCTCTCTAAAGCTGCCGTGTTTTTGAGTCGATCCATTTCTGGTAAAAGTTTCCCCTCGGCGCAGGAGTATCGCCGGCGAGAAATATTTTAGCACTGACAGCCGATTTCGCGATATATACCGGAGATAAAAGTGGCACTCGCGCGAGCTACAATGCATATTACTAGTAGAGACTAAAATTTTCTTCGATATCGAGTGGACGCCTATTTTCAGGCGCGCTAAAGGGATATTTTCTGAAACTTCGCATCATTCAAATTTCCTCTTAAAGAGCTTAAAATAAACTTTCGAGAACGGCTCTCTTTACCGTTACTTACTTGTATTCTTCGTCGATATTATACTAAAATCGTATTATATTAAACTTTATTGCTTATTATAATAAGCGAGATAACCTTATTAGAATATAAAACTACATTGGCTTTGTAAAACGGCAGTTCAGTCGTTATTAGGATATTACAGAATGTTATTACGCTACATCTCTCCCATACTTATATTTTTAAACCCCTTTTAACAGAGTTTAATCAGGAGAAGATGGTATTGATTCAAGCAATCCAACCGTACACTCGAATTTAAACATATTTTACTTATTTAACTCTCCAGTGTGCGCGTGGGGCGTATTTTACAAAACAAAAGAAAAAATATTAATTGGTTTAATATTTATAGTATAAATAATGTAAATAATAGCATAAATAAATAGCATAAATAATTTACACTCCACACGCGCTCTTTCCCACAATTCAAATTTTCACGCGCCCACTGGAGAGTTAATCAATATACTTGGTAATGGGATAAAACTCGAAATATCTCGTCGCGTTATATTCTTTTACAAAAATAAAAGTCGCTTCTAACAGCGAAAGGGAGGGTGGTTTTGCACTTACCGTACGGTCGCCCAAATTTCGTACTCGGCAATTCAGCGTCGCTGTTTTCCCGACGAGGGCCGTTACGTTGCGAGAGGCCGAGACGTCAAAGTACGGCCCTCGATCGAGCGGCTCCGATGCACGATTCTCGTGTGTCCTGTGATCGGCCATGCAACGGGTAGGTCCTTGCACTTTAACCAAATACAACAAGGCTGTGTCAAGGGTCGGGTGAATCCTTTAACGTTGCGGACGGTCGCGCGGGATGTAATTTACACCGCTCGAGAAGATCGAGAAGATATATGTTATCGCCATTCCGTTCGAACGCGTCGGAATTACCGATAAAAAGTTTCGTTTTCCAGTCAATTAGGCGAATTAGCTTAGGGATATTATACCGCGTCTCCTACAAAAAAAGGGAGGACAATTCCGCGGATATAAACGTTTCACAAAAGGCGCCCCTATTTTTCAGACTTTCTTTGACTATCTTTTTCGGACACTCACGAACTCTCCCGTATCTCATAGAGTCGTTATATGCACTGCGTAATAAATAACAATGATTTATTAAAGTACATCCCGCCAAGTAGTTTAGGTCGTTGAAAAAGGTTGTATTATTCCCGGGTTAACGGGCGTGTTCTTTAATTCTTATTGCCCGGTACTCCCGTTGCAAAATAACATGAAATTAAACACACGTCGCGCACGTAATACGAACGCAACAAATTATTCGTATTTTACATAACAGTTTTGCATATTACGGAATAATTATTTTTTTATAAACATTTCAGAGATTTTAGGATAATCGTCCTGGAAAAGCCGATGATAAATTTAAACCTTTTCCCCATCACGGTTCTCCGGCAAATATTTTAAAACAAAATAGACCCGTAAAAATAGCACTTAAAATAAGATGAAATTCATTTTTCTATTAAATATCTCTTTCGTAACTTTTTAGTACCATTGTCGGAGGAATTTTTGTAGTGGGAGATCCCTTTTTCCAAAAGGGAAGCTAGAACCTGCGAGATCGTAGTGGCGGTTAAAAAAAATGAGGACATCTTTCTTTTAAAGCTTGGTAGGAGAACAATTTATTTGAGGTAGAAAATGTTCGATTGAAAGTATATATACTTTCTACGATCCACATCACTGGGGAAATGGTGCATTAGAGAATCGTATGTTTATTACTTCTATCTATTTTTTTTTTTTAACAGAATCTCTCAATATTAGCAAATTGGCAGATTATTTCTGCTAATATTACTTCTCGTTAAAGGGTCCGTTCCTACTGAAAATGTCGGAGGTTGTCTCTGCCGCAATTTCAATATTCGATCAATACCTTGGCAATAAAACCTGAGAAAAAAAAACCGTTAAATTCCTTTTCGAAATAAATTCAAGGTGTACGACGAATAATGTTTCACTAGCTGTTTACGTCTCTGAGATTTAAATCGCGCGAGAACCTCTCATTTGCATAATTCAGGAACTTCTGGTTTCTTTGTCGCAATGTTTTATAATCAATTTGGTTTTATCTCGTTTTCTCCTTCGAGGAAATTATTTCGCGTTCAAACCATAAAAAGATTTATACTTTGTATCCAAAGAACAAGCTGTCTACCGTATATTGTCAAGCTCCCCTTCTTTTTAGCTCCTTTCCCTTCAAATTTCCTCTTGAATCTTCCGTGACACCAGAAGAGAAATTTAATTTTAAAAAAGTCCATGAAAATATTTCACATGCAATGGATATTTATTTTTTATTCAATCAAACGAGCTTTGCATGAAACATTGGATCGCTATATTCAACATTTGTCCGTAAATACAATTGTTTGCCAATTCAACATAGCCTGTAGCATAATGTCCTCATATTAGATTCATAAACAGCCATAAAATAGCCGTATCGTAAATCGGCACATAGAACAGCGCGAACTCTCCATTACCCGTTTATCAAGTTCTCTAACGTTGTGAATCGTTCATCGTTCACGGGGAAGTTCGTAACTTTAGTCGGACGTTTTCCGTAAATATATATATGTAGCCGTTTGTACACGGACGGTCAACTTGAGAGGATGATGGGTACATCCCCCAGCCTCCATTAATAGTGAAAATGTGTAAGTACGCGAGAGAGAGAGAGAGAGAGAGAACTTTTTATACGTAATAACGATATACGCATATAAGAAACGGGCTGTATATACGGGAATGCACGCTTCCTTGCGCAGCGAAGGAAAATTCCTCGCGCGATATCGGCGGCGCCAGTTTTCGGATCCGATAAGACCGTCGTCGTCAGAAAATCGTGCGTTAAAAATAAATGCCGCTCCAAAAGGGTAACTTTAAAGGGATGCAGGTAGTTGCGCGAGTAAATATTTACCTCTCCGCGCTTCCGTGGGATTTGCGCGGCCCCGCATAACCCACGTTAAAATACATATCAGAATTTCCGCCCCTCGGCTGTTTCCTTTTATCCTCTACGGTTACTTTTACAAGAATGTACAGTCGAATTAATTTCTTTGCTTGTTTCCTTATCACGTTGTTGTGTAAATTTCAGTTCATTTCCTAACAGCCAGCAGCAACCGACTAATTGCGCGTTTACTCACAATCAGTTCCGCAGACTTAAAAGCACAATCCCAATTTAATCTTAAAGCCGGGGCTAAAAATTATCAATATTAGATACGTTTTAAGAACGTTTATATTGTCTTAAGGGATATCTCAACCCAATCCTATTAGTGTCTTAAGAAAAATCTAATCTTTCAAACTTTTACACAATTTGATATATGATTCTCGCGCGTGGGATGATATCACTTTACAATTCCGTTCTAAATTCCGTGCTTTCACCGCGAAAAATTATCTCATCATATGCGCATCGCAATTTTTATTTATCTTATAATGCCCTCATTTTGTAAATTTTTCAATTCTACCTCTCCCACGCTCGTACGAAGCGCAATAAATATTTATCTATTTGTTAATATAGGAAGAAGTGAACAAAAATATGTCATGCTTTATTTTTATTTTAAATTTTCCAAATTATTAATTCTCTACACATGGCTACTAGTCAGTGAAAAACAAAAATACGAGAGTTGTATATAAATATTTTTGTGTGAATGCGAGTCAATTAAATAGCGCTCAATAAAATTTTTTGTCGAAAGAGTAAAAATTCAATATAACAGTCTCCATGGTACCGCTTACTGTTGAATGAACAGTAAGGCCAAGCTGAGCTAAAGGCCAAAATCATTAAAGCCATTGAAGCGATGGAAATAAAATTTTACGGTCTCCGTTTTACTAGTATAATTCTGCAGAAAAATATAAATTGGTTGGAAAATATACACGCGCATAAGCTTTAATTGATATTTTTTCGGTAACAATGAGATGTAACGAGCAGATTTGGGACAGATAACTCTTCAGGTAGCATACGTTTATCAGAATGACATCAAAAATTGTGATTACTGGTGATTATTGGTTTAGTGACCAAATAATACCTGGTTTAAAATGTCTTTTTTGTGACATTTTAATGACGTTGTACAAAAACGTCATATAATATCGTAATTTTGTACATCCTAAATTATTTTAAAAATTAACACTTTTATTTGTAAACTTATTTTTAAACTTTTAATCAAAAATTGAGTTTAAATTTTTTCAAGTAATAAAGGATTGTGATAATAATAATAGAGACATTAAGATTATTGTGGTGATAGTTAAGTAAACACAAAACATAAAATGTGTATTTTACAATTAATCTCGTTTTAAGTAAAAAATAATTTTGTATATAATTTTGATTTTCACAATCTTCTAAGTTACTAAAACGTCAATACGTTACTGAAACATCATTAAAATGTCACTGAAAGACCAAAGAGGTCGTAAAGTCACATCTTTTTAACGTCCTGAATGTTGTCATCGGTCCGTGACCCTAGTTCGTTATTTTTAATCGTCTTTTGACCAAATTTTGACGTCATTTTGACGTATTCCTGCTAGCTGGGTCGCATCTACAGAAAAGAAACGAGAGTTGACGCTTGCCAAAAGAAGGGCGACAATGAAAAGTATATTTTCTACAATGTACACGGTACAGAAAATTGTGCTTGCACTTTGAATCGCTCTTTTATTAACCGTGGCGTTACCATTACGTCGTGTGTGTGTGTGTGATATTATATCTTGTCTCATTACATTACAGAGTACATGGGACTTTCGGGTTAATTGCTGCATAAACCCGTATTTTGGACAAGGGTAATGTTAATACTAAGTTATTACGAAGTTAAGACTAAGTTTGGGAGCTAACTAAACCCCCGGTAATATACCGTCGGCACCCTCCGAGCTGGGTATACATAATATCGCGCGGCGTCTCTCGCCAAAGGGGAGAGGATATATTCAACGCGCATCGCGAGACAGTAAAAAGACGGTTTACACACGCCGCCCGATGCGTACGTGCCTCTCGCGTAAATTTCATTAAACCGCGCTGAAAAGAAGAGGGGGGGTGGTTAATGCTCGTACGCTCTCGCTAGAATCGTAAATCTAATTTTGCCGCATCCCCCATTAATCGAACCGAGTAGCACGTCCAAGCAAATACGACGGACACAACGGTCAAGGACCGTTTGTCGGGTTGAATGACCATCGACGTTTATTTTTGCGTACGGAGATGTCACGCGCACTCGTAGGAAAAAAATATATATATACGTTTTTAATCATCGCGCATAATTAAAAATTAAAACGGTTATTTACAGGAATTTATCGATCGCGCTAATTAATTTTATTGAAGCCTCAATATACGTTTCTCTTTTGTTAATTTTAATTACGATATATTTCTCGGGCGAGGGCAACGGCGTACGAATTTCGAATCTTGAAATTTCCGGAGTATCATTCTTCTTGGGAATCTTGGGATTATTCCGAGACTCGAGACTACGTGCGAGAAGGAAGGGAGCGCGAAAAAAGAGTGCAGCTGATAAAAGCCGAGGGAATTCCTCGCACGTTTTTTCCGGCCCAACGCAAATCGCACGAATAGAGTTGGCTAATGAGCGGAAACGACTTTTTTCTTGCGCGCGACAAAATCGACAAAATTGGCGTAAAACCCGCGATATTTGTATAATGTATCCTCGCCGGCGGTTTTACTAATGTAGTTTATCGTTCGCGCTATTCGAGGGCTGTTGAATGTTTGTCCGGCCGTGTTGTTTGCCTAAACGCGGATTCCGCTTCCGCGGTCGGCCGGCCGTTACGTCGGGGTACGTCGCGTTCGGTGAGAGATTTGGCGTGTGGCCGGTCGTTGTCGACGACGTGCGGGTTGATTGACGACGCGACGACACCGGTCGGGGCGATTTCCCGGAACGCGATTTATTTCGAAACTCACCCGAAACCATCAGCAGACCGAGGGTCAAGATTAGACACCTCATTTTTTATCTCTCATAGTCGTTTTCGGGGTGCCGGGAATCGATCTTCCTTCCTCGTGCGCCGCGTATCCTCCGATCTCCGATCGATCCTCCGTAAGCGGGAGCGGAGGTCCGGCGAGAGGCCGCCGGAGGGGTGAGCGATTACTCGTAGGCTCCGTAAAGCGGCCCCGCGAGCGTTTCCGAGTGCCTCGCACTCCGCCGAAATTGGCAGCAACGTGCGCCGGACGAGAAAAAAAAAGCGGGGGGTGGGACGAGTTCAGGGCGAGTTTATCGGATGAATCGACGGTTTCCGGTTCTTCTTGCCTCCACGCTCCATGGCACCGTTACGTCGCTGCTTCGTACCCGCGTATCGTCTGTCCCAGCGCGATTTCTCATCGCGACGGCACGCGCGCGATCGTTACCTACCCTCTTTCCGTCGCGCGTCCAGCCCGCATAGTCCCGCTCCTCTCTTTCTCGAGCCCGCTTAATTCGCTAACAGCTTCGTGATCTAGATTCGCGTAATTGAAAAGCGCCGGCGGGGCGTGATACGTGCATCCCTCCGGATCTTTGACTCTCCTTCTCGTCTTCCTCCTCCCCCCGGTCTTATCGCACCCTCGGCGAAATCGCGCTCCGGCTGATCGCCGTGCCGCGCCGCGCCGAAGTTGTCGGTGTCGGAAATCAACTGTGCGTTTTGAGTGATGTAAGCTCTCGATTCGTTTCACCGTCTCTCTCCTTGAACACGTTCTAATCTATAAGATCGGAGATCGGCGTCGAAGAAGCCGAGGATTCCGACCGTCGTGGAAACCACGCGATCCCGCTTCCTGTCGGCGACAGGCGTGTCTCTCTCGGCGCGTCGCGGCGCCGATCGCGCGCGGCGGCCCGGCCGGTCGCGCGCGCGGCGACGATCGACACACGCGGCGGCCCTCCCTCTCGGCGTAAAGGGGGATGATCTCGGATCGGCGGGCCGATCGACCGACCGACCGAAGGGGTCAACTCGTTGCACGGATAGCCGAGCGAAACTGAGGAGAGGACTGACAGTGCGTGCAACGCGGCTTTGCGCGGCCCTGCGCGCGGCCCGGGAGAGACGCCCTGCCATCTATCCTCGCACACGCCCCGCTCTCTCGTCCCCCCTTCACTCGGGGTGGAGGAGGAAGGGGGTGCACTGTGCGAGTAGATGAGGGTTGATATCCCTGGCGCAAGCGTGTATCTCTCTTCGTTTTATCGTCGTCGTTGCCGTCGTCGTCGTCGTCGTCGTCGTCGCCGCCGCCGCCGCCGCCGTCGCGCACGCTCTCGCTCTCTCCTTCCCTTCCTTTTCCCCGGTTGCTTTCTCTCTTTCCCTTGCTCTCTGTCTCTCTCTCTCTCTCTCTCTCTCTCTCTCTCTCTCTCTCTTC